TCCTGTACAGGTGTGATACCACACACACTACACAAAAGCCTGGGAACATTAGAATTGAGTAGAAATACATACATAACACTACAGAAGGCCACTATATTGAATACATGCCACATTGTTAGGAAATTCCTGAATACAGACACTGACACACTTATTTAATTTTAGTTTTGTTTTGGTTGCTATGCCTTGACTCTGGTCCGGCATAGTACACAGCCACCGGTGTTAACCGAGTAAAACTCACTAAACTCAACATAATAATAATAAATTTATGAATTTAATTTTTTATATATTTTATAAATCATTACAGAGAAGAAGAAAATTGCACGCTTTGGTTGCTTTGAATATTAATCAGATAATAGGAATAGTTGTATTGAGGAATAAGGATGAATTGGATACTATCAATCTACATTACTTTTTAGAAAACTTTATGCAGTTTGAGTATCATGGTGACAAAGACTATGGACATGTGATCCACTGTCTCTTAGTTCCAATGTTTCGAAACTTTTCCAGAATGTTTTTAAAGGTATGGGTGCATTTAATATATATATATATACGGTATTCTTAGAAACAGTCTTTTCATGTTAAGTTATTTAAATTATAATACATATAAAATAATCAAATTGTTAATTATTAATTGATAAAAACAAGTTTGAAAATATATCTGTATTTAAGTTTATTTTACCCCATTAAATTGTTATTAAAACATTCCATATTTAATTAAAAATCTAATGCTGTTTTATTTGATGTGTGCATACTCTGTTCTACAGGTTTACTTTTGTGTAAAACTATCGTATCATTGTTTTTAAATTTAGTCTAGTTTTTTCATAAGTACAGTATGCCATTACCTCTATACCAGTAATTAATTATAATGTAATTATAAATAATTCTTTAGAGTTAAAATATAAAAACTTCCAAACTTTCTCTAGTCATAAGACTGAGAGATCTTAGAACAATGCAGTTAGTCACATTGCTTAGGTAACAAATAAACACTTAGGTAAATGTGTCTTAATTTTTGATTCTTATGCATTTGTGATTGTCATGTTAACAGCTATAAAATTGCTAGTCCTATATTTAAAGCTTTATAATAGCTTTAGTTTATATTAAACTAACAATATTTATTAAATATATTGATTAATTAATAGCTGATGTGTCATAATCACAAAGCATTATCCTTATAAATATATGAGCATAGTGCTTTTGTTGGATTATGAAGCAATAGATTAGGCAAGATGTGGAGTTTATTTAGTAAAGTTTGAAAAGTGGCACTTAAAATAAATCTAATGTCTTAATTTTGGTTGAATTATAATTCTCTATGTTTTTGATAACTGTGACAGAAAATGTATGACATTTCACACTGTATTAATAAACTAACCAAGAAGTCTTGAAGAAGGCAACACATAACTTCAATTTTTTAAATTATTGTCAAATTGTACATACTTTAGATATTTTATATTGTCTACATTACTTAAATTAGTCACAGTTACAAATAGTAATATATCAATTTTTTTTAAATGAAATTATTAAGAGAATGAAATATTTTCTGTAGAAAAAGCTTTTGGAATATTATAATTTCCAAATGTTTGCTTCCTTATAGCAACAGTTAATGTATAACAAGAATAGTATCAAGACAGATATTTCTAATCTTCTAGTTAAGGTTGTTAATGAATTTATAAAATACAGATTTGATTTATGCACAAGTACAGTACAATCTTAATCTGTCAACAGTTTGAGCTTGATTCAGTGTTGGATAGAAAAAATGTTATTGGTTCTATTTGAATCTAATAAATTTATTTGTATCTTAAAAACATTTCAATAAATGGAAATATTCATGAAAAAAGAACTAAAAGTGGTAAATAATAATAATACCACTCAAAATCTTTCAAAAAGTTAATATGGAGTCATTCATGTATTAGTTCAGATGGAATTCCAGACATTTTTAAGCCCGATCGTAAACCCGAAGTAATTATTGGTGACAGCATGATAATGCTGTCACCAATAATTACTATCCCCTCAGAAACTACAATTTCATTATATATCACATATTTTACTCTTTTTCCCATGAAGAAATTATGTAAGCAATCTGATATAAAAGAAAACAAGATATTCCATTGCACACTGTTAGTGCATGCCAAACTTAGACTTGCCGTGTAGAACACATATATTGATTAATGTCTAAACAAGAATTTGACTAGTTAATGAGCAAGTTTCATAAACTGCAATGTCAAATTTAGTTAAATTTACATTGTCATGCTACCTCTTTGATTCCTTCTAAATTTTTAATTGGAATCTAGAATTCTCTTCATCTAATGGTCGCGACACGTCTCGGTTGCACTTATTTGAACACTATTGCAGTTTTGTTGAACATGATAGCAAACTATCATCAAAATATTGGCACAAAAATAATAGTACAAAGGTACACATTTGCATTTGTTGGGATAGGTTTCAGATACTTCAGCTCCATTCAAGATTTGATATAAAGCTTACAATGAGTCTCATATTACAATAGATAGGAAAGTCATTAATAAGAATTAATGAAATATTATCATATTCTTATACTTTAATTCAAAAATAGATTAAATGTTCATTGCAAATGTGACATGATTGCAGTATGAACATTCCACTCCTGGTCACAATAGTTCTTATGCCTGCCCCCTCTCTTTTGTGTGAAGTAATAAGTAAATGATCTCTGTTTTAAAGTTTTTATTTGGATTCATAATAACAAGAATTATGCTATTATGAATTTATTATTTATTTATAAGAAGTATGTGTAAAACTGATATTAAAAAAATTAAGATAAAATTTAATTGAATGTGTGTTATATCATTTTTTTTTTCTGAACAATTCAGGAAATTTTACGTATTACAAAGAAAATGACATTGCATTATACCATCTATCCTACTCATACAATTAATACAGTAAGTAATATTTTTATGGTCTTAAAAATAAAATTTATTATTACAGTATTTACTTTATATAGTTAGCTGAATTAATCAATGCATCTTTACAGTGGGTGCAGTTTAAAAAATGCTAATGTTTTTGATCCAGTTAATGGATTATATTGTTGTGTATGCACGTGGTGAAAAATGAGTCTCACAAAGAGATATGATAAGACAAAGGAAATTCTTTAATTTTTCACCAGTATTCAATAAGTTTACAGGATTTTGTTTGGATTCTGACAACTCCTTGAACAAAATGTCTAGAATATTAACTCGAACAGGAATGTTGACCCGAATTCTCGCGACAAAGGAACAGCTTTACAAAAATACGTGGCGTTACAAAATTAAGCACGACAGACTTACAACTAATTATCTAGGAACTACTAATTTTATAGGGAAGGATAGAACTGAATGTGAATGGGTACCCAACTTAGCTAGTAACTTTATAGTCGGAGTTGCAATGTAGATCTCTCTGCTGGACGACACGAAGTCCGATGATCATAGAGTTTGAACTTTTCCTTTCTCACTTCAGGTTTCCCGGTAAGCTTCCGGAGGACTCTCACGTTAGCATACTTCGACGATTCTTCTCTCGTATCTGCTCTTAGACCTACTCGCTCTTGCCCTCTTCTTGGTGATTCGAGATCGACTCGACCCTTTCCATGAAAAAACGTCCTCCCAGCTCGACGTCTCCGCCAAAAATGACCCTTCTATCTTCCTTTTAGCGCCTCCGGGCTAACCCGCTCCTTTTGTCTTTCAAACGAGTAGTTGCCACCCACAGACAGAAGTTTCCAGAAAGGAGAGTACAAGAGAACAAAGGACAGAGAAAGAATGGGAAATTAAATATATGTATATATATTTCATTTCCCATTCTTTCATTTTCCATTATATTATATATATATTGTAAGACCAAAGGGCGAGAAATAGACAAACAAAACGAAATTAATTAAACTAAAAATACAAAAAAGTTTATTTACTTGCCCGGTTGATGCAGGTTACAAAGGATACCAACTTCACTCTATATCCACCGAACGAGACGCACATTTAATGAACCACCAAGTAATATAATACGCGACAGGAAAGTGCGTGTGTAGTTTCAGTCCGGACCAACTGACCAATTCCTTAAACTAAGTAATTTATGCTAGTTTCTTATTTCTAGATGTTAGTATTGAATAAAATAGGTTTGGAAGACGAGAGATAGGACAGAGGGTACCCAAACTTGGTAATTGGTGCTCCTTGCAATGGTTGATGCCTCTCGTTTCTCGCAAAGTTCATCCCTTTTTTTTCTTCCAGTTCCCGGGTCGTCACCTATCCGATACGATGCTGGACCTCCTCTCAATTAAGTTCCTTTTTCTTTTCTTGTTCCAAAGTTCTCTTTTTCTTTTCTCACTATACGATGCTGAAGTTACAGGGAAGACTTTCCTTTTTTTTTCCTTCTTCCCCTTCCTTCCTCAGTCTCACGTCCTTTCTACTCCTCTCTCACTCTGAGTCTCTCCTTTGTTTCTCTTCTCCACTCACTCCCTTCATTCTCCCCCTTCTTAACTCCCCCTCGTTCCTCCTCTCATCTTAGTCCACTCACATCCTCTCACAAAAGCCTTCCATTCATTGCTTTCCTCTCAGTCCACCCACACACTAAAGTCAATGGGAAGAAGATAACATTATAGAAGAGTAAACAAATAGGACAGATGAAGGTGAAGTGAAGATAAATATACAAATCATACGGTTTAAAATATGGCGTGTAGCCACAATATATATATATATTTATTTATTTATATATAAAATTACTTTATAAAATTATGGCGTATGACCACAATATTTGGGTGTAGACAATTCAAAATGGAATCATTCCATTTTTGGCCTGACATGCATATAGATAGCCTATTAACCAGGTCAAAAATGTTAACGTTTTTAAACTTCACCCACTGTTAAAAGGTGCATTGATTGCTTAATTCAGCTGAGTGGCTAATTCATTCTTATTTATAAAGTAATGTGTATGATAACAAAATCTCATTTAATATTTACTTTCAATATTATTATTGTAATGTAATAAAATAAAGTTAAGCACAATAAGAAGAATTTCTAAAATTTAAGTTTTTTATAGATTTTATTTTCAGTTAGCAATTAATATAAGTGAATGATGATAAACGACATATCACAATTGGTATGAATAATAATCTCATTATACTCTATAAATATTTATCTAGAATACATCAATTATCTTAAAATCTTGTAATAGTTTGGAATTAATAAAGAAATTATGTGTTATCTTAATTTGAATTTTTATTCACAATGTTGATATTTCAACTCTTTTAGTTTGGAATCTCTCAGTAATGCCATTGTGTGCTACTTAGCCACATGTATTTTCATTATAAAATATATTACTGCTTTGCTTAATAGATTATCAAATAAATACTGTGCAAATATACAAATGAAAATATGGAAGTTTTTAATATTAATGGTCTGAAGCAGTATTTCCCAACCCATGTGCCACAACACACATGTGTTACGAGAGTTCCTTGAGTGTATTGCAGAAATATTAAATACCATATTTTTAAAAATTTCATTTATCTTTTTGTAGTTTTACTGCCAACCATCTGAGGGAAGAATGAGGTATTCACTAAAATGCTGATTATTGCAAAATTTGTGGCATGATACCCCTCACAAACATTGCATGCATGTATGTGTATGCTAGCATACCAACTCTTTGGAGCTTATATAAATGTTGCAGCCGAACCAACTTAAAGACAAATACTAGCTCTTTACACAATGATTCAAACAGTGTTTTTATTTTTATTGTGTATTTGTAAAATTGCAAGTTTTTGTTTTGGTAAGTTTAACTTCCATATTTTCAAAACTTTTTAAAAATCAACCATAATTTAAAATGTTAAACATTTTTACTTTAAAAATTAGGGTGTGTTTCAGGAATCTTATTAAATTCAGTGTGTGTCACTAATGTAAAAAGGTTGGAAACACAGGTCTAAAGTATTAATGTTGGCCAAAATTAAATCTAAAATGTTAAAAAAATTTTATATAAATACAAGTAGAACTGTGTATAGAATATTCATAAATTATTTATTTATTTTGTAGAAATAAGAATTATGTGAGGAAAATTTAATAATATAATAATAGGTGAAAACAAACATTTCAATGGGAGCATCATTGGTAGCTCTAAAGATCTCAAATATTTATTAGAATATTGGAAAATAAATTTTAGAATTGAGTACTGATTATTGGCTGGTTTGAATTACAATTGACAAATTATGATATTAATTATGTTTATAATTACACTAAAAGGAAATAAATTTAAAAATGCTGTTTTAAACAGAGTCTAGAATATAATGCATTGATTTCTCCTCTGGAAGAGTTTCAACCAGTAAAACCAAAAGAATTTAATTATCAGTCAGAAGAAGAATCTCAGGAAACTCCTTTTGCCCTGTATCATTTCAGTAGGAAATTATCTATGAAACCAAAGGTGAGTCCAGTCTATGTTTCAATAATTGTATGAGAAAAAGATTTTAATTACTAAATTAAACAAAGGAGCTGTAAAATAAATTCAATTTTAAATTTACTGACTTAAAACAGATTTGTAGTTTTAAAATGCCAATTTTTTTAATTAGAAAAACATCAATCACAGAATAGTTATAGTAGGAGCTTCTGAAGTTGCTTTAGGTGTACTGGAACAATTAATATTTAAGTAAGTTTATTTAAGCCAATTGTATATAATATATAATTAAATAATTTTTCAACTCATATATAATTTTTTTACACTGATGATATGCAGTTAAATCTTTTTAATCTAATGTGAAGGGACACTAATAATCTTATTTGTTATTAAAAATTAAACTAACTTTTTGAAGTTTTTAGTGTTTGTCAGTATCCCTTATTCTTCAGCAATATTACATTTTCTCTTTACTTTCTTTTCCATTTCTTAATTGCCTCAGTTTTTTAAGCAAAAGGTAAATTCTTGTATGTTCCAGGTTTAGCAACACACTCAATGGCATTATTTAGCAGAGCTTAACAACAACCTGAATGTGACCACAACCACATATTAGAGAGACATGTCTCTTCAATCTATGACCGTGACAAGACGTGCGCAACTCGTGCATGTTGCAGTTGCACAGCTGAAAATCGCTAGGTGTGACCACTGCTTAAGGAAGAAAAAGATTATACAAGAACATGGCACAGTTTAATATCTCCGCATTTCTATCCTTTCTTTTTTTTTTCACAATTTCTTAAAATTTCTACTTTGGGTTAGATTCGTTGTTGGTGGCTCATTTTTACTTTCCTGGCTTCAGTGCCGGCCCGAGGCAAGTTTTAGGATGGAGCGAGATCCTATTATGGCGCCCCCTTGGTCAGTAGCATAGCGAACATAACTGGCGCTCGGGGCACGACACTTTATTGGCGCCCCCTCCAGAAACACATATAGCAGAGGTGGGGAACCTTTTTACCATTAGAGGCCACATTTAAATTAGGCAGCAATAAGAGAGGCCGCATAAGCTGATTGACCTAAGAAAGTGACTTTTGTGAAATTATTATAGTTTTTCTATAGATTTAACAATTTATTGCATTATATAGAAAAAATAAAATATAATACTACAAAATTTTAAATATAATATACATATAAAATAATATAAAAATATCATAAAAAAATACAATAAAAAATATTTTTTTATTCACTAAGTTAGTGACTTATTTGGCTTTGTTTTTTGTTTGACAGTAATTGTATATTTGGATCAAGCTTCGTAACACACAGCTTTAATTGATCCTCTAAATGTGCATCTGTAATTTGCGTTCTTAAATTTGTTTTTATTTTTGACATGAGAGAAAATGTTGTCTCGCAACAGTAGGTACTTCCGAAGCAGGAAAGTAAACGGCGAGCATGTTCTCGAAGGCATGGATATTCAACAGCATTTTTCCAGATTTCTATGGGATCCTTTTTAGCGTTAAAAAGGGATTTGATGATACTATCTTCCCCTAAATCAATTAACTCCATTTGTAGTTCTGCAGGAGCCTCGGATATATCTATTAAATGTGGTTCAAATGCCAGTTTCATAGCAGGAGTGTGCTCGTCAAAATCAGAAAATCTATTAGTATACTCTTCTATTAAACAATCCAAGACACCTACATATTCATCGAATATTTTATTTTCACAGTTCTGCTCATTTAACATTTTAGCTAGCTCCGGGAAGTGTTGTGCAGATATTTCCGATCGACAAAGCAATGTTTTGAAAAATGATAATTTTTTTCTAAACGCTTGGATCTTTTGCCACATTTCATAAATATACCTCGTTTCACCTTGCAGGCAAATATTTAAATTGTTTTGTTTTGTCATCATATCAGACAAAAATGCAAGGTTTCTGAGAAATACTTCATCTGATAGATCACATTGTTTTCCTTGTTCTTGATAAAAGTTTAAAATTTGTCGTCGTAAAGACAAAACTTTTATCAAAACCTGACCTGTTGATAGCCAGCGAACCTTGCAGTAGTATGGTAGGTCAACACTATACGTTTCCTCATCTAAAGAGAGCATCTGCCGAAATTCACGATGACGCATTGCATTTACGCGAATATAGTTGACAATGGCAATGGTTCTATCCAGAGTGTCTTGCAAAATGGTAGATTTTGCGCAAAGATTTTGCTGATGCAAAATGCAGTGAAATGATATCAATTTTTTCAAGTTTAAGTTTTCCTTTTTTAACAAAGCAACGAATCCTTCTTTTTTGCCTCTCATGGAAGGTGCGCCATCGGTGCAGACACTGACTAAATTACTGACATTCAATTGTAATTTATTACATACTTCTTTGAAGTTTTCGAAAATATCGGCTCCTCGAGTTCTTCCAGTTAGTGTACCCAACGCAAGTAGTTCTTCGTAACATTGAAAATCTTTAGTTATAGCACGAATAAAATATAAAACTTGTGCCGAATCTGTTTTATCAGTGCTTTCATCTAAAGCAATTGAAAAATAAACATCTTCATTTTGTATAATTGTATGAAGTTGCTCTGTTACATTTTGCGCTAATTCGTGCTGTCGATCTGTTACAGTTCTTCTTGAAAGAGGTAATTGTTTGTATTTGTCGACATTTCTTGGATCTAACATACTCACTGCTTCAACAATACATTCTTTAATTATTTCAATGTCACTAAATGGTTTGCCCCTTTTTCCAAGTATATGTGCTATTTTATACGTAACAGCAACTGCAGCGGAATTTTGATTTACAAAGGCACTAAAAGATGCCTGCTGATGATGCTTCTCATTTTTCAACTTTTGAAGTGCAGCTTTTCGTGATTCACCTTCTAAAGCGAAATATTTATGTTCTTTATGAGTCAAATAGTGTTTATTTGCATTCGCTTTTTTTAAAGTATTTAAAACTGTATTGCACAACAAACACATCATTTTATCTTTCTCAGCAGTAAAGAAAAAATCTAACTCCCATTCTACATTAAATGTTCTGTTTTCATCACCTAATTTTCTTCTCTTACTATTTGACATGATGGATAAAAAAACGAATATCAAATAATATCTTTAACAAAGTGTATACTTTCTAGAAATACAATAAAACCGTGTAACTGTTATAAGCACTCACTGTTAACTACAGTTTGCTGAAGATCGCAACAGGGAAGCGTTGAGAGATGCGAGTCAGAGAAGCCAAAGCAAGGTGTGACACTCAAATGGGAGATCTGAAACCGAGTTTTGTTTACTTCTTAGACAAGGTAGTTGGCGCTGCTAGCGCTTTTTAAACAGTTTTTTAAAAAATTAACATTTTTTAAAAAACTGTTTAAAAAATTAACATTGAGTGTCCAAGTCTGAAACGGATGGTCTGTGGGCCAGAGCCTCGCTCATGCGTGTTAGAGTCCGTTTCAGACTAGTATTCTGACGTCATGTTACAATATGACTGTCTTTGGCGGGATTTTTCGCGCAACTGTCATGGCGTTGATGTACAATAGTTGTTTGAAACGAACTCTACCATTTTTGTACTAGGTGGCAAAGGGCCGCACAAGAACCTCGCGGAGGCCGCAGGTTCCCCACCTAGGACATATAGTTTGTCTTGGAGATCATTTGGGCGCCCCTCTGCGAGTGGCACCCGGTGCTTGATAACCCCCTTGCACCCCCTCGCTACGCCACTGCCCTTGGTTGCCCCAAATTTACACCCTTTAATTTTCTTTACCACTGAGGCGCCCCCTAGGACTTAGCGCCTGGAGCGGCTGCTCCTTTCGCCCTATGGTAGGGCCGGCTCTGGTTATATGTAACAAAAGGAAAGTATGGGCGATCAGTTAAAGATTTTTACATCTTTGGACTCGGGACCTTTTCTGCTTGACAAACCTTTCTCAAGCAGAAAAGTTGGGTGTACTTTTCAATATATATGGATGTTTGTATATACGGGGAACAGGATTTTGTTCACCCAATTTGAAGCTTAGTGACTCCCAGTGACCTAGAAAATACTACATAGTGGCTGTGATCATGGTTACAGTGCTCTTAGTGGCGATGACGGGTACTATTGACCGCCATCTTAAGTCAAAATATTGAAGTCTATACCACACGTGGGCAGAATTGTCACTGTAGAATCTATTTTACTGGTCTAAATCTAGATTGTTTTGTTTTTCCCTAGTTTTGAAATTTAGGTAATTAGATAAGTGATAAATCTTGATTTTATCTATTTCGAATTTAGCTATTTTCTAGATTTTCTTTAATTATTATAAAGAAGGTAAGATTAGAGTTTAAACTGGTAAGTGTAGTACTTAACCCTCAATATAAGTATATTTTTATAATATAAGTACGAACTGGGTTTCGAAGGGCTTTACTCTCAGTCATATAATTGTTTATTTATAGTGTACCGAGGTCAGTCTGAGCTATACCATACTCCGTACGTTTTTGATTTTTTCGGACAGTGTTTTTTTCTTTTGCAGAATATAAGTAGTGTTCTTGTGTTTTATTACAGTTATAGCTGGTTTTGGACATTTTGGTTTCAACTTGTGAAAATATTTACAATGGAAAACTACATTTAGACCTTTGTCATGTTATGAACCATATTGTTGTATTAAAATCCTTCTAATAAGGGGCTAATAATTGTGGGAAATGGAAGAAGTGTTGCATTTTCCCATAAAAAATAGACAAAATATGCCAGTAAGTGCAAGAGATCAATATATAGAAACTGCACCATTAGGATGTGTACAAATTGTGCACTATGCATCATTCTGGATAAGAAAAGTATATTAACACGAACTAAACTTTTCGTTCGTTATGTTGTAGACAACAACTTTAGACACTAAAGTCGTGAGCCTAAAGAGGAATTGGAAAATTACTAATCCGTAGGACGGATGGCTGAGTGGTCAAGGTGGCAGCCTACTGCTCTGGGGACCTGGGATCGAATCCAGATGGGTCAAAAATCCCTAGGAATTTTTCAGGATGATCCGACTGAATATATAGGCCCCGTCCCTCATTACCCGGCCACCGCATTGTGGGCCTTGCCGAACCCATAATGGGCTTGCTAAAAGAAGCCCACAGGGCTGAAAGAGTTTTAAAAAATGTACCAATCCGAAATACATTGTTAAATAGGCGAAATAAAGCGAACTGTTTTAATCTCGGTCTCTGTTAATTGCGGATAATTAATTAAGAAACACGTGATAAATACCACTAGTCTATTGGAAGAAAAAACTTTTACTTTTAACTTTTTTGTTTTTAATTATTATCGAATGGCAAAAAACTTAATTTTGAGGGTAGTGATGAGTTTTTGCTGTTTGTAAAAATTATAAAAAATAAAATGCCTCATTTATCAATTTTTACGTGTCAAAAAGATGTAAAACGATATTTGATAATGTTCAGTTAGAAATATGAATGGTTTTCTATGGAAGTGTCGCATCCATATCCATGGTTAACGGTCGAGGGAGTGGGTGGTAGAAGGGATCGCGTGTTGTCTTATCAAGAATGGGGTAGGACTAATTAATGAAGATGTTACTCATTAGCATTTACAATTAAATATTATATATAAGTCGTCACTACCCTAAAAATTAAGCTTTTTGCCATTTTATAATTACAGTGGAACCCCGGTTAACGAACGTAATCCGTTCCACGAGTCCGTTCGTTAACCGAAGCAATTTTTCCCATAGAAATTAATGCAAATACAATTAATCCGTTCTAGCCGTCAGTATTTTTGTAATTTTATTTGTAAAATGGGTTTTTTTTTTTAAATGAAAATATAGGAAAACGTGCTCATAAACAGTCGATCTAGGTTAAATTTTCGGAAAAGGGGAAAAATTTGACAGGATATAAAAACATCACATACGATCGTTAAAGTTTTAAAATGACAGATAGCAGAAACAATAGGCTAATTATCAACAATCTCTGATCAGAGTCGACGAACAGGTGTCAAATAAACGCCTCGGAACAAACCTTTCTCGTGACCTGATCTAGTGTCGGTTTTCACCTGGAGACAAAGAAGAAAACAATCGGGAAGCGAGGAATGGGACGCAGGACTAATCGTAAGGTGAGATTCAAGGAAAAAATACTATAAAATCCCCCGAATCTCAAGGTCAAAACGCAGTTTTCCTAAAAATTCTATGGCGATTAATCTGTCGTCATCTTCATCTGGATTAAGGTGCCCGCTAAAATTTGTGTTGTGTCTCGCGGACCGCTCCAGTCGTTGCAGCTCTGTCACCTATCATCGCTTCTGTGACCAAGCTAACCCATCTCGTCCGCTCTGGGGCTACGACTGATCAGCTTGCACTATCGTAGGACCAGCGATACGCCACTCCTCAGTGCCGAGAGAAAATACTGTTCGTAAGCCATTTCCAACTACCTCAAATATGTAAGCATCTTCCCGTTCTAATAAACGATTTTCACTGTAAAATACTTGTCATCTTTGTCTCCCCCGCCACCACCAACATACGAATGGACCCTAGACCATCACCGACACACGATTAACTGATTTTCCCTAAAAGTCGGAAAGCTTACAAATTTGACACAAAAAGCCGTTAAGTTCGTTATCCGAGACAAAATTTTTGCAAAATAAAAGTTTGTTAACCAGGACGTTCGTTAACCGGGGTTCCACTGTATTATAAAAAACTTTTTATATTATTAAATCTCGTAAGAAATGATGTCACATGCATTTTAACTTTTTTGCCGGGAAAGTTAAGCAGTTCGTTGCTGGATTGTATTTCCTACAATCCTTTGTGTAAGATTTTATATCCATTAAGATATAATAGTTTTGTGGAAATGGACCTATTTCTTTGATATTTTCAATTCCGTTAAGAAATGTACTAAACATAGGGAAACACGTAGTTAATATGCAAGTAGCGATAGTAATGTGGTACTTCGTACTTCGAACGGTCTAGAGCTCGAACTCTAACTTTCGAAAAAAATTCGACCCGGAGTTTGAACGATGTTTCTACGTTCGAACTGCCCGCACGGTGAAAAATGCGCAGGGTCTGGGAGCGGATTAATTCACTTTCAATTATTTCTAATGGGAAAAATTGATTCGGACTTCAAACGGTCTCCCGGAACGAATTAAATTTGAAGTACCAGGCAACACTGTATTTAAAAATAGCTTAATTTCGAGAATCATTGAAAGTATATTTCAAATAAATAATACCTACGCAATAATAATATTAACGAACGAATGAAACGAAACACCTCATTGGTTTGACCCTAAAGCAAGATTGTCGAAATAATGAATTTTTAATATATTTTAGTGTATTATTACGAAGTATTCGGAAATATATATTAATAAATTCTTTATATTTACAGCACCGAAATGGCATTTAATAATTTGGTTGTAATATCGCCTTACGGAATTTCCGGAAATACCACGGACGATCCTTACCAGACAATGCTACTTCCGGAAAGGTACGAATTTTTATTTTATTTAAAAGAAAACAGAAAAAAAAACTATAAAATCGAATGAGTACTTGATCTTAATTAATTTTATCATTTATATACATCAATTATGGCCGTAGTTAGAGCACCACCTGATAGACTACCGAACGAAATACACTATGCCTTTAACGAGCGGTCAAGATGGCGGTCTACGCTCTGGGGACCAGGGATCAAATCCTGACGGGTCGAAAAAGTGCCAGGAATTTTTCGGGTGTGGTCCATCCGGATATGTCGGACCTCGTCCCTCACCACCCAGCCGCCCCATTGTGAGTCTGCCCGAACCTATAATGGGCTTACTAAAAGAGGCCCTATTAGTGCCTACAGAGTTTTTTAAAAAAAAAAGATGCCATCTAGTGCCGTTCAGAGACGTAAAGTTATAAAACAAATATGGCTACTAGCTCACTAAACTCGATATTTTGTAAACCGCGTTAGTCGAACGTTTCCGATCATTGTAATCCATCGAGCCGTTATCATCCAAGGAAACACTTTTTTTTTTTTTTTTACTTTTGAACGGTTTGCTGCCGAAACAGAAATTTTTTTATCACGCCGTTTCGTTTCTTTGCTTCGTTTAATAAAATAAATTTTAAACTATTAAATAGAAAGTAATTTTAATGTCTTAACTTGAAGCTTAATGCCTACAGAGAGATTTTCTGCCATGGAAAGAGATTGGCTACTATTTAAAATGACAAATTTCTGGAGACGAGAAAGACATTCAAAAGCGGCAACTACAGAGAAAATACTCTCTAGTTACGTTCTTACAATTACTTTAATTAATTTAGGAATTTTCTTTTCGATAAATAAATGGACGAAAAGACGAATTTGCCGTATCGACCGCCATTTTTTTTAAATGGCGTTTGTTGCGGTTTCCGTTTGACTGCTCGTTTGGCGAAACGGCTATGGAAATCAAATTCGCTTTTTTCCTTTCGAGGGATGACTCCTGGAAGGACTTTTACGGGAAACTGGCCCCAATTTAGGTGTTACTAACGTGAAGAAAATCCGAAAAATTCCGCGTGACCAACCTGTTGGTCAGATACGAACCCACGATCAGTGTTCGGTGGTGTTTTATCACTCGGCAACGTTTTCGGACTAGACTACTAAAAAAATATTTTAAGGCTTAAATGAAGGAGTTAAACCTTTACAGATACAATGTGTTAACGTAGTTTAGGCTAACGGCCATATTTAAAGTATTATAATTACACCTACAGTCGAAGTGTAATAGAAAAACGAGGTTTAAATGTGCCAGACAGACTTGCTAAACTGCATAGTAGCAAGTGTCGTAGTTTTCGAGGTCGCTACAGAGGGATATGCATAGGATACTTTTATATCCCTTGTAGCAATGTTCTACGAGGTGTATGCCCGTCGCGAGTTACCACGAATTCTAGTTATTAAATTTAATAAAAGATGGCGACTTAATCGTTCGCTTTTAGTTCAAATCACTTATATACTTACATAACCAGGCTACCTATGTGCAACCTGGCTAATTGCATAAGTAGATAAGTAATTGGCACTACAACCTGGCACAATAACAAATTTGGAGTTATCGTATGATTTTTTAATATATATAATTGGACTCGGTTTACTTAGTAAACCGAGT